ACACACACACACACACACACACACACACACACACACACACACAGTAAAAGATTGAGATTGTAGAAAAATACTCTGAGATTAATTCTGCACTTGCCCACTGAAATACTTGCTATGGGTACTTAGGTGTTTTTCCATTTCAGACACCAAATTGATGGTGCAATCACATGAAGGAAGAATCACTAGTTCTAACTTAGGTGCTGACATCTGAAGATTTGGCTCCCCATATGCAGTTTATTTCTGGAGTTTACATTTAATTTATTTTTTATAAGGGGCATTTGTGTATTTTTTAACAAATTCTGTCTAGGTGTGAGCACAACCCTGGGACATAAAAGCACTGAACAAATCTGTATCTGGTATGAAAAAAGGTCCTTATTATGACCTCAATGAAAAGTGTCAAAGTTGATGCATGGGACAGAGGCACCTGGTTATTAGAAGTATTATACCTGTATAAACAATACCTGTCTGAACCAAGCCTATTGCATAGCCTTTGCGCACGCACACACACACACACACACACACACACACCGCTCCCATGTTTTAGCCCTACTCTTGGCTCAAATAGAATATGTGAAGCCAGGAGTTGTGCACAGGACTGTTGTCAATCATACGCATTAGGGGCCTAATCCAGAGCACACTATTGTCAATAGAAAGACTCCCTCTGACTTCAAGCCCTGCTACTGTGTTTGGCTCATATATGTTTAGAGGAATGGGGGGGAAGGGCAATACCATTTCTCCCACATTAGTCAGAATTTGGCCCATATGGAATTGAGACAGACTGAGTATCCCAAATGTTGAACTCTTTGGCTAGAAAATGAAACCACCGCATTAGGACTTCATATGGAAGTTAACTTACAGAATGTCTGTTTATAGGTTTGCTGATTGCATTTTTGGAGATCAGTACTCCATTGCTGTGAAAGAATATAATCTCTTATTAAAATCTCTCCAAATTCTTATAATTTGTGCAGGGTTATTGTATAGTATTTCTTAGGTCTGACTGAAAGTTAGTTTGATTCTTACTAATGCAGTTAGGTAAAACAAATCACATATAAAGTGTCTGGCTTCTGAAACTAAACAACATCCAATTAATTCCTGTCTCAGGAATCACTGTAGAACCAATGTGTTACACACACACACACCAAAAAAAACCACAATACAAGAATAAAGTCCCAGGTCCTTCCAAATGACTAGTTCCTGGAGGAGCTGTTCCAATTCTGATAGTATTTACAATGTCAGAATTATTTTTACTCTAGTTAAACAACTAATCCCCATATCTGAAAGGTGAAGGTTGTAAATCTCCCCGGAGAATGTTGCCTATGACAGGGAAGGAAAGACTTGCATAATTACGACTTGTACTTCCTCAGAGAACATGAGCTCAAGTCTAAAGCAAGGAGTTTGGTTAATAAAACATTGGGGCTTGAAAAATACAGGAAAAGACCCGACCAGCTCATATGATGATAAAAAATGTGTTCTTGCTTAGAAAAACAGTGACAAACAGGGCTTCAGTGGAAGTTTCTTCTAAGGTCTTGAATATTGAGCAGGAATTCTTGATCATTCTTCAAAGATAGGTAACACTGATTCCTGGTGGAGGTAATTGAGATTCTTTATTGTCTTTCCTCCATCTGGAACTAAAATATACTTAAAGAGCTGGTCTGAAAATGGAATTTCAGTCCTGTGGAAAAGTCCAATATTTCAGATTTTTTTTCCCCATCACAAACTCATAGGAAAAGCAGAAATTTTGAAATATTTCAGGTCAGAAACATCAAAGCAACCTTATTAAATATTGTGTTGATAATGTCAAAATATTATAATTTAAAATATTAAATATTATAGTATTGTAATATAGGGAAAAGTTAAATAAAATAAAAGTTGAAA